TTACTAAACTGTTCTTATCTCAACCCGTGGGAGTTGCATTCTTCTTGATTCTCCTCTCTGTCCCTCTGGGAGTAGGGGGAGGGCAAGAAGGGGGGGGAGTGAGTGAACGAGCTGTCTGACTGGGTTTAAACCATGACACTTGATAGTGTATTTTTACACTGAAAATTATCAAGATGTTTATGTCTACAAGCAAATTAGGTGTCCAGTGTCCTGTACAAACCAAGCCTTCTACAAAACCAATGAGTCTAGTAAGTGTCTCAGCTCACTCTGAAATTGAGACTTACTCCTTGGGCTCTCTCCGCTGACTCTGAAGAGAGCTCAGACAGTTGTCTCTGAAATAATAACACCTATAAGCTGATAACTAGGACTGGTCATCCACAATTGCAAATTGAACACCTCCTTGACTCTCCTCTTATTGCTCCTGCTTTTGTAGGAGTTAATTAATGGTGCTCTACAGGAGTTCTTGGGGTACTATTTTGCGAAGTAGGGGACACTGTAGAATTTCTAAACCCTTCTGATTTCTAATTTCTGATTTCTAAATTCTTCCCATTCCTGGACACTTATTTATGACGCAAAGAGGGTGAAAACGTCTTTTCCTTTCTCTTTGCCATGATTCTGTTACAGCACATAATCCTTTCTACCATCCTTCTTTTCTGTTTAAATCATAATTTCAAAGCTACTAGCACATAAAGAGTTGTTTTTCCTTGTCTGCTTTCAGACTTGTGTGTTGCAAGTAGCAGTTTAAAGGTCAGCTGAAAACACAATGATATTCTAGCCTGAACACCAAGCAGGCCCCTTTTTGTCAAGCATCCAAGCCTGGCCCCCTGTCCCTCTACATTCCTGGAGGGCCTCACTGCTTCCTCCACAATTTTTGTGTTATCTATCTCTTTTTAACTTCTTCCTTCATCTCCCACACTTCCCTTTATGAATACCCCAACCTTTTGAATCCCCTACCCCTTAAAATCCTTCCCCTGTAGCCAGCATTTGCTGACACAATTCTTCTTTTTCTTCAGTGTGACCCCTTCGTGAACTTCTTCCTGCAGAGAACATTTCTGTAAAATAATATTTGTTAAAAGCTTCAACCAGCTGACAGATTGCAGCACGTAGCTTCTTTCTCTGGAGATTTTTACAGACAGTCATGCTCAAGTGCCTGCGGCTGGGCAAGGCTGGCTCAATGACTGCAGTACATACACAAGAACTGCCCAATTCATATAAATCAGGCAGGGCTAAAAGCTTTCTGGAGAGGAAGGGTAAGCCCACAGAGGCAAATGCCTATAGGTGTCTTTTTTATTGTGGTCTGAAAGCTTTGTAGTTTGTCTGATAAGTTCTTCTGCTTAGGAAAGCCAGACATTGTATCAGCTTGGCTACCTGATGTCTGCTGAAGGAAGGGGTTTCAGCAAAATAAACTACATCAGTCTACACAATGAATAAAAAAATACATTCATATTAGTATCAGTTTTATTTCAGATTCTTTCTGTATCACCCAGCTGTCATATTGTTCATCTCCAGCTCTTGCTTTCCTTGCTGGGCATTCAGTGAGATTTTCCGTTCTGAAATTTCTCTGCTTTTGGATGGTGTTTTTTTGTCAAAAACATAAGGAGGTCTAGCAACCGCTCTTCTGAGAAGTAAGCTAGCACTCAATTAAAGTTCTTTAAACTTCAGTGCACCAGACTCTCTAATGGCCTCACAGTTTGAATACAGAAGCAGTTAAGACAAGATACCAGGCTCCTGGGACCCGGTATAAAATCTGTTCAAAGGTGATGGAGAAAAAGTGAGGTTAGAAGATCCAGAACTGCAATCCTTACCTATCCCCAAGCCTGCTAATCACTCCTGATTTCCTTTTTTCCACAGCTCTTGTCTTCATTAGTGGTTAGAAAGATCAGACCACAGGTCATCAACTTAATGTGAAGAAAATGTCAGCATTACACAAGCAGAGCATTTAACAGCTAAATGACTTTTCTTGAGTAACAACTCATACTTGTAAATTAATCATGCTGCAACAGTCTAGTCTCACTCTAGGCTAACTCAACATACTAATTTAACTCATTTTCCGTGTTCTGAATGTGGAAACATTAAACCTAGGTCAATATTTTCAGTAAATTCAATAAATTATTCACCAAGTCAATTATTTTCTTGAGATCTTTTGTACCACAAATTTTCTACCTTGTGCCATGGCACCATCTTAGCATTCAAGGAAAGAAACATTTTTACCTGCAAAGGAACTGTGCAGACATGCATATTAATTCTGAATTTGACATCTCTAGGTATAGCATAGCAGGAGGTAAGCAAATTTCATTTTGCCACACATTTGATTATCTTCAGACTGAGAATTACTTGTGTCTATAGCAGCTTATTCACAAAGTCAAGAAGGTGAAAATCCTCCATTAACGCAATAAAATTTGTATATTCCTAGAAGCAAGTTGTTAAGCAGTTTGTCTAGCATCGGCTGAAACTGTAATATAGATTCAGATCACTTGCCTAATTTTGTAAATCAAAATGTGCTCATTATAATTTGACAAATCTTTTTATTTATTTATTTATTTATTTCCATTTTGATTTTTGCAGCTTGCATGTAGGATTATCAAAATCACACCAAGGCAAAAATTGCAAGTAAATGTTAGAAGTAAAAGCTAGATAATAATTTCATGTCTTTGTTAGATTTATTGTTTTTTGACAGAAGCAAACTGTAAGAAAAAGTTGAATGAAATAAATGGACATCTGACATGCAAAGTTGAATAAGCAGTTCCAAATATAAAAGCTGGGCAGATGAGAAAAATGCAAGAATGCAAGCAGGACACAAAGGGATGATTTGGAGGACACACTGGGAGGCCTGCCAACACAGGGAAGGGCAGATTTAGACATTGTCATAAAAAATTCACAGGGCTCAACCACAGTAGATCAAAAGTTAAGGAAATCTTCAAGTAAAATCCCGTCAAAACTGACATGCTCAACATGCTGCTGTTTACAATGCCAATCCCAGCAGCTGCACTGGTAATGAATGGCTTGAACTGAGATGCTGCTGCAGAAGTTTCTGCTGTATTGGCCAGCTGATGTTCATTGGCTATGGCAGGTGCTGTTGAAATTGGCAAAGGCGTCCCACTCTGCCTGTCAAATTTACCTTCCCTTCCCCCTTAAGTGCTCCTTTTGCTTGTCACGGGCATCCTCAGAAACAGGTCTTTTTCCTCAGTTGCACTTGTAGTGAAAACTTGAGTATCAGGCATGCAGGATCATGCAATCAGAACCTCTGCTCCCCGAATCCAAAAATTAACCTTTTCCTTCTTTGTAGCCTTGACCTTCTAGTGGTAGGAGGAGTAAACTGTTAGTGCTGCTCCACTAAGTTTGTATTTGAAATGTTTAGCACACCATTCATTAAAGCTATAATTATTAATAGGCTTTTTTTAAAGGCACTGGTGTCATGATTTTTTTTTTCTTCACAGAGTTAATTCTGATTACTAACAAAACACCAGAAAGGAGAAACTGATCTCACAGTGTCATACTTGGATGTGTTTAACCAGAAATTTTTATCTTTGAGTTGAACAAAAAATTCTGAAGAACCCTGTTTTTAAGGGGTTTTCCAGTTGTATTGACTAATGTACAGAGAAGAGAGGTCAAGTAACAACTATGTCCAAATAAAATTAGACACTGCTAAAATCAGAATTTACGGCATTCTTAGCTGGCTTCTTCTCCAGCCATTTACTCCCAAACCATTCAGGGTTTTTCTAATTACATCATATTTTACACAGTAAATGCAAGCATTGTGCTTTGTTGGCATATCTTACGTTTCTCTTATAAGCTGCTAATTAGACCACATTTTTCATGTACAGGATGAATATCTGATCCCAGATACATGGTGTTGAATGTTAGGTGATTAACAGTGGTTCAATGTACAATTATGCATTCTGGGTTTGAACTTCACTGGTAGCAAGACTAATGATGTACAGTGTTTTCCATTAACCCAGAGAGGTTCTGGGACAGTAAACCATTAACTCAGAGGTATTTCCCTTCTGAAGAACTAAGACAATGAATACACAGACTGATCCTAGTGTGGCCTCATTCTTGACAGTCACCCAAGTGCTTCCATAATGCAAATATTAATCTCTGAAACAAGTCAGCAGATGCATCACATAGCAAATTTTTTTCTGAAACGTGGACACATCATGAGCAACATGGCAAGTACTTAATAGAGCTTCAAATACATTTGCAAAGCAGGCTGTTAGAAGCAGTTTGTTGCATTTAAATGGCATATAAGGTTGAGTTTATTCTAAGCTCTATATTACTTTCAAAATTGTGGAATTTAATACAAAACAACAGAAAAAAAACTAGAAGATAGGTCTGGTACCTATTTTTAGCTGGAAGAAGTCCTTAAACATATTGCAGTTTTCATGACATGGCCATTTCCTGTTGCAGGACTGTCCTGGGTTTAGCAGTAGCAATCATATTTCTCCTTCATGGTAGCTGGTGCAGTGCTGTGTTTTGACTTCCAGCCTGGGAACAGTGCTGATAATACCGATGTTTTCAGTTGTTGCTAAGTGATGTTTACCCTGACCAAGGACTTTGTGAGGCTCATGCTCTGCCAGGGAGGAAGGGAAGCCGGGAGGAAGCAGAGACCGGACACCTGGCCCAAGCTAGCCAGGGAGGTATTCCATACCACAGCACGTCATGCCCGGGGTGGGGGGTAACTGGGAGTTACCCGGAAGGACACGGGCTTCCGGGTGGGACTCGTTTCTTGGCTGGTGGTATTGTATTCTCTTCCCTTGTTATTTTCTCTTATCATTGTTGTCATTGGTGGTAGCGGTGGTGAATTGTGTTGTACATTGGTTGCTGGACTGTTCTTGTCCCAGCCCGTGGGATCTGCACTCATTCGATCCTCCTCCCCGTTCCTCCGGGAGTGGGGAAGGGGAGAGCCCCGGGGGGGGGTCGATTGCTCTCAACCTGGCACCACTCACTGGGAGTGAGTGAACAAGCTGTCTGGCTAGGGTTTAAACCACGACAAGGACACTCCCATCAATAGAGAGAGAGAGACTGGGAAAGCCAGGGATGAGAAATTAAATCCCTGAAACACTTCTCTTTGAGAGCAGGACAGGAAGTGGTAAGAACAGATATTTATTCTTATTCTGAGTGCCTCGGTTCTAGGGAAATGAGCAAGCGCAAAGTGAGTTGTATTGGCAAGCAGTGAGTCATTGATCCATTTTCTTCATAAAAGTATGGAAGAAGTATCCCTTAGAGAGTGAATAAATTGTTGAATTCAAAGCTTTACCATTAGCTGGGGCAGAAGCTCTGTTGTTGCACCTGACCATGTGAACTACTGTAAAAATTACAAATTTAAATATGTAATGGAAAAGCAATAGTCAAGGAATGACAGCTAATCAACTCCATTTTCCAAATAGCCCCTTTTACTTTATCTTTGTGGTGCCTGAGTTGGTGTTATTACTGAAGACAGTATATGGTCTCCTGATTGCACAGACTCATTAAAATGAGTGCTGCAAGTATTTGCTGAATACTTCATCCTTTAGAAACATTAAAAAAGCTATAGGCATGGTTTCCTGATGCCATAACTTGCATCTAAATATCTCTCTTTATGTGTTTTTCTTGCCATTACTTGAATCCCCTACAGAACGCTACTCTCCTGAAGAAGTGTCTCCTACTCAAGAAGCTCAACTGTGGGCCAGCTAATGATAAGTTTATGTCCAAAAGAGGGGATATCAAGACCCAACCTCCTCCCTAGTGAAGTGAGATTGCACAAGGACTCTACTGAGGGAGAGGGACCACTGCACTTTATGCTTTCCTGAGAACCAGGGAAAGGTGAATACCAAACTGCACCACTGACTCTCCCTCACCTCCTCTTGGACCTGAATGGTACCCCTTCCTCCAGGTAGCTGAGAAGGGGCTGTGCTAGTTCTGTCACCACAACCTGGGGTCCCACTAGCATCTCATTAATCTTATTTGTAGTCTTGGTGTTTTTCTATGTGATTTCACAGCTGTCCAAGCAATGCAGGATTCAGAATTTGGCATGGGAGTTGTTTCTTCCTTAAAAAAGTGTATGTTTCTGCTTGAGCCTTCCTTAGTACAGAAAAAATAGTGGGAAAGTAACTAGAAACAGGCAAAGAAAAACATACCCTGGAGAGAGAGATTGGGAAGGAGCAGAGGAGGAAAGGGAAATGTCAATATAATCAGTGCTGCAAAAATGGAGCTGTTCCAAGCCTGTATCAGGGCAATTGGTCATTCAGCTTGATCTTGGATCTGTCAGGAGCACAGAACATAACCCATTGTTCACAGAGAATATACTATTCCTTCTCCATTGATTGCATTTTTAGAAAAGTCAGCATTTTCCTTGAGAAAACTTTTACAGACGCTCTTGGGTATTGAAGAATACGAGCCTTGCCAAAAGAGGAGCCTTAGGTTTCTTGTTATTCCCAGCCTCTGACTCCTCAGAGCGACATCTGTCATCTTTCAAATTGTTGTGGTTTTTTTTTGTCAGAATGTGACTTTTTGATTAAGTTTTTTCCCCTTCTGTACATTCGCTTTTACATTTTTCTCCTTCTTATTGTAACAAAAAGTTTCCTCTTGTTTCAGTGCAGCTTCCTTTATATTTCACTTTCTATTTCAGCACTGTGTTGTATTTAATAGGAGATATTTCCAAAAGGGCTGAAGGTCAGACTTTCAAGTTTGCAGCACTTAACAGCTGCATATGTTTGAACTGAACACCCATCCAGACAGCTATAAAGGTTGCCTGTTTCACAGCATTTAAGCAGACTAAGCATCGCCATGCAACACAATGCATTGCTGACTTACAGAATCCCAAAGAACATCCTGGTGAGCAGGACCAGTCATTAAAAGCTGAAAATCGGGATCTCTGTGGCAGTGTCTGGGCAACATGATCTTGCCCTTCCCAGAGCAATTCAGGTTAGTATTGCACTGGCTCAGTGGCATTGTCCCTTCCAAGTGGGGAACTTGAATTATGTCTCGATTTAAGGCTGACAAGGAAGAGGCACCTTTCCTTCTCAGCTTGATGCTCATTTTGAGACAATGTGACTTTTGTAACAACATTCACTTTCCAGTCTCTCATTCTGGTCTTGGAAGTTGCACAGCAGCTTTGTCTTTAAACATGCCTGATCAGCAGTTCAGGCACAATCTCTCTTATATATGACTGTAGTATCTGTTAAGGTCACTGTACTTCACCAGCAGCCTAACTCTTAATGCCCCATTCATAGTTCTTGACCACTTTAATTATTATTTTGCTTAAGACTGAAAACAAAAATTTCTATTGCCAGATCAGGATCAAATTCATCACCTTTAAAACAGAAAGAGATTTTGGGTCCCAAATTCAATGCCTGAATTAAGCTCAGCTTCGGGGAGTTTTCTTTGTCATTCCTTGAAAAGTATGGCAAGTATTTTGTATGTTTTTTAGTGGACACTGTCCCTACAGATTTGTTATCGCATATTCTGAAGTACTTTTCTGCATTTTTGCAGCTACCCATGTAAAATGATCAATTTATTTTGCATAATATGCCCACAAATAAAAGCAAAAACTAAACATTTTATAAATCATCTGACATTCCAACAGTGTGCTGTTTACTGACTTCAGATGACTCATTGTCATATTCATTTGTTAGCTTGTTCATCTATTAAATGTAACATGCTCTACAACAAGTGACCCATTTAATTTTCAATTCTAATTGTGATTTTTTGGAGCCTCCTAATCCATTTTTTTTCTAGTCTGAGTACCAAAGGTTAATATCTTAAAATTAGATGTCTCAACAGAATTGGGTCATAGTGACTGCTAAATAAGCAAAGCAATTACAATTGTGCAGCTTTTAGCATTTCTTCTACTAACTTTCCATAAATAAAAACTTTCCTCAAAGGTTTCAACAGTTTAATTCTGAGCTAACACTAACTATAAAAGTTATTCCCAAATTCAAATAAATCTGAAGTTATGAGTAGCAAGACAATTACCATAGAACTCTATAGAAATGTAAATTTTTTAGATTCTTCACTCAAATTTGAAAACTTTCTGATTACATACAGACACAGAACAAAAGCCCAAAGGACATTCTTACATCCGATATTCTTGCTGATTATTGCATCTTGATTAGCACATATTGATGGAATGTGATCATTGACACCATTACAAAGCATACACTTTAATATTGTTTAAGATTGTTGATGTCTGGCAAGCTCTACAACAGCTTTAATATTTTATAGTAATAGTATTGCACTGATTTCTTCTAGGTACTTTTTTCCTTGTTATTGAGCTTGTGGATCTACTACAGGTTCTTTGCTATTTGTGTCTAATGACTTTAAAGATCAGTGTGCCTTTCCTCTCATTTTACACATTTGTTTTTCAGCTCTTCCCCCTCTTTCAAGAAAGCCAGTGTAAATAAATGGTTTCTGAGGCCATAAAGCCTGTGTGAAATGTCTGAATGACAAAGTAATGAACATTGTTTGTGGCTGGAGTCAACACAAGTATTTATTGCTAAGCAACAAAGACTGATGTCAGCGAGTTTTGCCAAATGCAGATGGTGAGTAGGTTTGTTGAAAAAAAAATAAAAAACAAATCACTCTAACATAACTCTTTACAGTGGATTCTAATATAATAGAAATAAAATGCACTCAACTGGTCAGAGTGAAGGGCTCCACAGAGAGGAATAAGGTTAATTTAATAAGAGTATCTGCTGCCTTGGCCTGTATTTTAGGGAGTTGCTCATTTGTAAGAGTATTCCTAATCTTTCTCAGCAAGACTTAAGGAAAGAAAAATATCTGCAAAGCTTTCCAGAAGTTCCTGCCTGCTCAAAAGTTGCTGTTCAGAGTGTTATTGCAAACAAAGGAAAAACACAGTACATCCTCCCTGGTTGGCAAGGAAGTGGCATATGGAATATGCAATACAACCTTACTGTCACTTTAGTCTCCTACAGCATAAAGAGTTTTTAGTCCTGTTCAGCAAATGCCTTTGCGTTCTCTCTCTGAACAACTCACCAGGTGTGGGGACTAGTGACTGGCGGACTAAGATTGATGATCATGTCACTGCAAAGTTGAACATGTGTCCTACTGGGTATGTCCACCAAACTCCTTTTATCCCTGTTTGAAACGAGACCTGCCACAAAGCAGAACACACTCATTTATCTCCTTTGAGCATGCTGATGAAAACACAGTAATCTTAATGCATATCCTTTAGGCAGAGCTCACTGTCAAGATCAGATGCAAATTCTCCTTATTCCTGTAGAGAGCAGACAAAAGCAAACTTTGGTCCCAATCTGTGAGAAGTCCGGACTCTCTGCAGGGACAGTATGCTTGGTTTGAAAAACATACAACCAAACTGTTGTTGTTTAGAACCAAAAGACTGTGCTGGAAACAACCTCTTCTGGTTCAATCAAACTGCTAAAATAATCTGATATAACTCACCTCAGGTGCAAACTGCTCCATAAAGCAGCTGCCTCCTTCCCTGGAAGCTGTCTCACTCACACACCTAGCTCATCCTTTCAGAAACTACCTGCTTGTACTCAGCTTGGAAGACCAGTTCTGCTGCCCAGCTTCCAGATATTCCCCATCTCTGTACAGGGACCCAATGCCCAGTCCAGAATTCCTGTTCCTTGGCCCTAGACTAGATGATATAGAAAGATATTCCCATTTATTAGCCTCCACAACAAGCGAGTCACAATTGCTGGCCTGTACCAACAGTTATGTTGGTGCAGGGCCTGGAATAGTAGCCTGAGTAGGATAAGTATACAAAATGGTGTGATGATGGCAATAAAGTAAACACATACACACAGAGCAAACCAACACTACATCTTGTTGTAGAAGGTGGATTAATTTTCTTCAAAGTAAAGATGTTGCACCTCAGGCACCTCATTAAACAATCTCTGGTGTCTGAATAAAAAAGTAATGTGCATGAAAATGACCGTCTGAACTTGAGAGAAAGAAAGATCAGCCAGCACTCATGTGGGGCTCAGCTGGGAAAAAATATTTTACTTGAAGCTATTTTTGTTTCTCTTAGTTGTGTTAGGCAACCAGCCATATTGTATCATACTGTCACAGCAAACAAAAAAACCAAAACACGAGTTGCTGCCTAGAATTAGGTATACTCACTAATAAAAGCATTAATCAGTTTTGAATAGTGATTGCATTTGGAAAAGATTTTAGGAAAGATTGTGTTTTTTCCACTTGGTTCACTGTTTTGATGTAGTCTCAGTGTTTTGGGCTTTTGAGGGGTTCGGGTCTAGCCCTTCGAGTTCAGTTTTGCTGTTTGTAAATGTTCACAAGATAGATAGTGAGAACAAATGATTTTTCATAGCTTGAGTCATTCATAGATTGTTCACTTTTGCATCTCATTACTGGACATTTGCCCACATGGTATGTTTCTGGTGTCTGATCAAGCAAACAAAAAACTTACATAGCAAAAATGGTGAACTTGTGAAAATGGCACTGACAAAAACGTGCCAACTAATACAACCCGAGAACTGATTTCTTGTGGTTTTTTTCTGATTTGAAGATATTTTCAGGAACACTCAACCATTCAACTATTTAAGATATAGTGAGAAATATCAGCTGGGTGATGCAAAATTAATTAGAATTTGAGCTGATTAACTGCAAACTTCTTTATTAATATGTTTAGACTGAGGGGAGAGTCCTGATTTTTAAACAGTCCTATTCACTTTGCCTTTTCACCTGATAAGCAGGCATGTACACAAAGCCACAGAATTCTGTTTTCTCCATCTCTAATACACTGCTGAGATACCTAGCACTTATGTCATTTAGGTTTAAAAGCTATTAATGCACTTGGTAAAGATGAAAAACAAAATATGAAATCTTGTCAAGCCCACTGAAAGCTGTAGTCAGTCTTATTTAGTAAATGTTTTTCAGAAATGCAATTTTGTCTGTGATAAATGCACTTTTCCAAGTGTAGCACTGTAGATTTAGTACTTAGAAAAATCTGTTGACAGCCACTGGATTCTGAACTCTTTATTTATCTGCAAACTTCCGGAGTTGACACAGAGACAACATAAACTTTTCAACCCCGTTAAAGTTGTTTGTCCTTGAACTAGTCAAACTGTTTGTAGATTTGAGAGTACACTTCCTTTTCCACATCCACTCAGCTGTCAGCCTTTTTGCTGAGCACAGCAACAAGGGCTTGAAAGAGTGTCAAAATATGACTGGGTATTAAATATTTAGTATTGTGGGCTTGGATCTTTAGTTTTCATATGGCGCCTGCATGCTTAGGCTAAAGTGTCCTTTGACCCAACAAGTAGGTCCTGGTTGTTCTTAATAAAATGGATGATTCTACCAAGCTAGGTCTGGAAACACTGACCTCACAACCACCAGCAGCCCTGGGCATCCCCACTGGTTTCTCACCCAGCGTATCCAGTGTGATCTCTGGTTTCAGCTCCTGACTGTGAGAGTGCTGCAGGCAAAAGGGACACCCAGCATTTGGCAAAATCTTTGCAACCAAAGACTTGCAAAGTCTGGTGTCACACAGGGTACCTCATAATATCCCACTGAGTATAGTTCTTCTCTAAAATAAGTTTATCACAGGAAGCGTGGAGTATCTTACTCTATCTTTCTTCCCAGTCATATTCTCCCATAATTTGAAGCCTGCATCTCATGCATCCCGTTCGTAAGGGACATGAAATTCATACTCACACTTAGGAGAACATTATCTAGCATTTTACACACAGTCTTCCCCTTAATTTTGATTTTAGTAACCTTTAATTCAACTATCAAAGGACCTTAACAGCTTTATGGAATATAGAAATTTGCTGTCATTGGGCTTTGAATTACAACATAATGAATTTCATTTTGATTTTACAATGAGATTTTTAAACGGCAAGCCCTTTGGTCCTTGGGAAAAACTCCAAATTTAAATTGTTATATTATTATTATTGTTATTTTAAATAGACTTTAGTAATCAAGAGGTCAGTTGAGAAGAATAACAAGTCTCAATTTGCTAGGTTACCTATGGTTACTCAAACCAAACACAGAATCAAGATCTTTTAAATTGCAACTTTTTAAAATATTAGTTGCAATTTGAACTGTGCCATAAGTTAGGCAACACTTGTCTAATCAGATCCCTCTGTATTTGTGATAATATTTCCCCACAGCTATTGATCCCTGAGCAGATACTACAGCTCTCTTTAAACCAAAAGGACATATTGCAAAGGCTTTTTGAAAATCAAGGCTTCCACTCAGAATAAGGTTGAGTCCAAAAAAATTCCATAGAAGCAAATTGCAGGGAGTATCTTTCTCATGTGTTAATTGAGAACAATGTTAGTATGTTATAGTACCCTTATAATAATGTAATATACTCAAATTATTAAAATATTATGAACTATTAAATCTCTGACACTTGATGTATGTATCTTTTGACTGCCAGCCAGTATTGTTGAAATGCTGTGAAATGATCACATTCTTATGTGATAATGGAAAAGTTTGAAAGCCTTGTTTCATCCTGATTCTTTTTGTCCAGGATGTGTCTTACCCCCTATCGCATTAATAAGGAGGGGTAATACAGTGCAACATACACTGTAGCGTTATGAAATGTGAATACATCTCCCTTGGAGAAAACAGGGCAGATCATTTGCAAATGTAACCATTTCTGGGGTCACTGCTCCTGGCTGTGGCCCCAGAAGCCTTCTGGTAAATCAGCCTTCAGAATTCAAATGTTCAGCTATGTCAAGAGGTATCAAATGAAAGTGCATTTATTTGGCTCCTTGGATGTGCAGTATATTGCATTGTCTGATAACTCACTAACAAATTCAGATCTTGTCTTTTTAGAGAGATGGAGGAAAATAACAGGCCTCAAAGGAACTACCTTTCTGAACAAGCATGTTTTTCTCAGTGCTTTCTTGGAGAAGGAAACAAGGAAAACTAAATAGAAGTAGATGGCATTTTATTTCAGAAAATCATCTCAGAATAATGTCATCTAAAAACCCAATAACTCAGGTAACTTGTCTGCTGCAGACTTTATATTTGCTGTTAGGCTCATGAGCTCCTCTACATTTCTCTGTGAAAGGCTTGAGAGAAAGGACGTCTAATAATCACTTGCAACAAATATTTTTCTGCTGTTTCTTATTGAAATCTTATTGACAGAGATCTAGAGATCTTCTTTGACACTCCAGACAGCCTCTGGAGGAAATAAAATACCACAAACAGAGATGGATGGTAGTATTGATCTTTATGGTGATGAAAATTAGGATACTGAAATGCCAAAATTTTGATTGACTTTAAAAAAACAAATTCTGGGGCTTTAAAACTTTTCAATTCAATCACATAAAAAGGTCAACAGAATTTAGCTGCTCTTTAAAGAAAGACAGAGGACAAAAAATGTCAGTGGGTTTTTTATACCTCCACAAGATTCAGCCTTTAAAATTACGCATCTTGCTTAATAATTAGTCAGTGATATCATACTTTTATAAGTTGTCTGACATGCACAATTGGATTTAAAGTTGATCTTTGTGTGTGTGATTTTTCTGTGTGTCTTCTCTACTTTCTATTCACCCAGAACCTGGTCCCTCTAAAGCTAGGGAATGAGGCTGCCCCTCGCTGCAAAAAGTAGAGAGTGAGGAGATGAGCTTGCTGTCACAGCAGAGCAACTGCTGCTGCAGAAAGGAGGTCCCGTAAAATCACCACTAGCACTTCCCTTACGGCAACAGCCAGTTGGTTTTGCAAAGCTTAAGGAGAGGTGAAAGAGGCAGATGGTCCATGGCTCTTTGGCTACCCTGAGACTACCTACTCTGCCTATAGTTGGAGTCATCCATGCTACTAAATGGGGAGTCCAGACAGTTTGCTGCATGGTTCTGCTAGTTCATGCATAGATCACCTCAGTACTTTGTGAAAAACAAATATTCCACTTTCTTTAAGATTTTTATTGTTGTGCTGCTTACACTGCAGAAGTTGTTAAGATTATAGAGAAATAAGCTAAGAAACTTCAGCTCAGGAAAGAACCAGAGCAACCTGAGGTAATGGTAATTTGTTATCCAAAACCAGCATTGGTGAATACTGATGTGCTAAGGTACACAGTTTCTTAAGACAAGATCTATTTTGCCCATTGACATTAGAAAAAATCTGGAGAAAAAAAAAAAACAACAATGACAAAAACCCAACAACAAAAAAACAAAGTGAATCTTAATATTCCTTTAATAATCTGTACTTCCCTATGACAATAATACACAGACAGAAACAGCACATCAATGATGGTAAAAAACTCTTAACAATGTCACTAAATATCCAGTGCAAAATAAAACCCAGCAAATTTATTAACAATAAGCCCTATTCAGTGTGATAGTTTCAGTAACACATTTACTGAATTGTATGCCTGCTAATTCTGAAAAACACCTCCATATAAGACAAGAATAAAAGACATGACAGAAAGTACACAGTTTACAGCAAAGCTTTTACAGAAAATAGTTGCCTTTATACTTGCCTGGAATTGTCTCAGCAGCAAACCTTGGTAAAATGCTATAATGCTGTTTGCTAAGACTGGGTGTGGTTTACATATGATATAACCTAATTTCTGAATTTCCCACTCTGCTTATGGTGCCATAACAATAGCCTTCACAGTCACTGAAGTATCAAAATCTCTTGAATCCATCACTGCTCTCTATCCTCCTTGGGTGTAACTGTGCAATGGGGTGACTGCCTCACGTGCTTAGTAGAATCTTGCTGGGGTCCCATCACCCCAAAGTGATTGATCACCATTGTGTGTGCATTCAGTCAAGAGCCCATTTATCATGGTTAGGTATTTGTAATGACATGTTTTACATATACCTAGTGTTAGAGACTATAAGATACATTTCACCACATCAGAGTCAAAAAAAGAGAAGAAATAGGGAGACTTTTCCCAGCTCATAGAAGCAAGGAGTTATTAATTAGCTAGTCAAGGACTTTGCTCTAGCAAGAGATATTTGCATCTCCAAGGAGCTGAATGAAAAACACTTATTTTAATTGAGAAGAATGATCAGATGGTCTCTTAAATAATGAAGCAAAAGAATAAATTTCAGGAAGAAAGATTATATCTGTCTGGGCTCCTTAGAATATTTCAAAGGAGAAATTTCTTAGAAGAGATAAAACTTGGTCCCAAGGGAGGAAAAAGTAAGTATATGCCACAGGACTAACTCAGTCCTCAGGGTATGCTGCTGGCCTGCTTTCCTAGGTATGCTGTGGCCATGTTACAGTTCTGTGTTAGGAGACTTAGGTACCATTCTGCTCCCCTTTGGAGCTGTAGGGATGTTCCCTTAGACTCAGACAGATTAAGTAGTTTCTAGGGGCAGGCCAGAGAAAAGGCAATAGCATCACAGACATTAGAATTTACATGTCTACAATCATGTAAAATCACCAGGTATCAGCCTCTTCTGAGCAAATGAATCATTTGTGTGATAATAAATACTGCCAGGGTGAGAAAAAGCCTCCTTCCAGAACAGCAGTCATCAGCCCCATTCCTCCTGTCCCCCACGAGCAGGAGGAGCAGCATGCCCAAACCCCAGACCTGTCGTCTTGTTGCTGCTCAGGCTATACCTGACTTCCACAGAGTAAGAAACCAGGCTCTGTTCGCTCAGCCTTGGGATGTCAAAATTAACATCTGCCTGCTCGACTAATGAGCCTTGGGTTGATGATTTAAAATGCATCAAGCATCCTTAGTTTCTCATTAAAAAGCTTGCTTTTGCAGATCTCAAACCATTTATGCAGCGCTTGTCTGAATTTCCTTCAGTTCTTCACCGTGCTTTTGAAGCGCAAGCAGTGTTCCAGTAGCAGCATCACTAATTCTGCAGACAGGGTCATTACTGCCCCTCTGTCTGTCCTCTGCCCATATAACCAAAGAGATTTTGCCTTCGTCTTAAAAGAGGATTAACACCAGTTTTTTTGTATTGGACGGCAATCGTGCTTATTTTGCTAATTTATTGATACATCACTTTCTCAAGGGATGTATCTCACCTTAATCTGGGATAAGGATGTATCCTATTTAAGAAGTCCTTTGTATTTGTTTTGTTCTTTGGGGGAAGCTAATGCTGCAAATCCCTTCTACCAGAAAGACAGAGAAGCTGCTTGCAGAGGGAAGACCAAAGCAGTGTAAAGGCTTAGCATCTTCAAAGTGGGGCTGATTAGTTCCACAACACCTATATCTGTTACAGATATTGTTAGAGAGTCCAATAGAACAGCAGCTCAGCCACTCTAGAACTGCTTGCTGACTGCAGTATGGTCACAATTGCATCCCACCTAAATAAAAATACAACCATACATAGTGGGGGCAAAAGCAAGAACTGTGACAGGAAACCTCTTTATTTGAAATTAAATAGCTAAGAGAAAGAATACCAGGACGTAGAGCTTGAGAATATGTAGATTTGTTCTTCAGGTTAAGATCAATAAAACAGGTACACAGCAAAGTGCTGCCTGTGGAGATCTTGGTATCAGTTCCACTGCTTCCTCTGAAAGGTGAAAGGCTGTTCAGAATATCTCAGGAGTCGAAAGCAGAGAAAAGTTAACAAAGCAGGGGAGAGGACAGAGATGGTTAAAAGCAATTAGGATCTTCCCCACTATTCAGGAACTCAACAGAAGTTTCTTGGAGCACAGCAAAACTCCCAGCAGGAACTGCTCTTTTCTATCTGCAAATAGATTTCTAACAACTTGAATAGCTCTCTAAAGGTGGCTTCACAAGGTCAGAGGAATAAAAGATAACTCTAAGTAGAGCCCTGATGTTATGTCTTATCTTTACTTTCTGTACTTTGTGCTCAGGTAGTATCTTCCCAAAATATTGCATGACGACCCCAGAAGAGCAGCCTTGAAGACTCTAGGAGGGATGTGCCTTTGGAGCTCTACTGACACATGCTGAATTCAGCATCTGCAGATAGCTTTTTTTTTCCCCAGTTAATTATCCATGAATTCCAAATTTAATCACAGGCAAATATTTTCAGATTCTGATTACCTTTCCTTCAAAACATTTTAATTTAGAAATGAGCCTGAGCACATGCCCCTGGGGCCTGGGCAGGTGTCCTCCTACAGAACTGGTTTAAGAATAACCTCACTTCATTGGTGATTTAAGCTGACCCAGATGGCTTTCTGCTGAAATAAGTGGCATCTTGACTTTAGGGGAGTCAACTTTACCGCAGGGCAGTATATCCTACATTGCTTTAAAAAATCACCAAGGTAAATGCTTCACTGAGTGCTCTGACACCAGTCATGGCCTTTTCACAGTCAGCCGCTGTTAAAATGAAAAATCAAAGTAAAAAAAAAAAAAGAGAGAAAAAAAATAAAAGAAACAAAACAATTAAAAAAAAACCCAAACAAAGAAACAAAAACCAATCCACACCACTGAAAAGTCTGATGTCTAGATCCAGAAACAAAGGACCT